AGAAACAAACTGGAGACCGGGCTGGAGACATAAATAAGATCGGGTACGGGAGATGAGGGGTGAGTAAATGGGACATTGTATGCCCCCTCTGTAACAGACCTTCAATACAAATTTGTTTCAAATCCCGGGTTTCAAATCACACTAATAGTTTTAAAATGTACAATTTAAGCAGTTTATTCTAACCAAACCTGTAATCCTTTAGTTTCTTCAGGAATTTGCAAAAGAAAGTACAGTGTATTTGAATTTTTTATTAGGCTCAGCATTATTTTGCAACCAAGATTTATTCATTTATATTGTATTTAGAAAAATAATATTCCAATCAGACAGACGTTCCAATGAGTTAGGAAAATACATTTGTCCATTTCCTCTCAGGAAGTTTTCAAAAGTAATCTAGTCGATTTGTTTATTTTAGTGTTTAGCATTGTTTTTCCTAACTTGACGCTTCCATGAATAGAATGACTTTGAAATTAGATTTTTTATAATTTTAGCTTTTACACGGACATAATTATTGTATATTTCTACATGAACGTCGCCCCCCCCCAAATTACAGATATACAACTTTGGGTCGGAATGCTTTATTTTGCGCAGAGAGACAGGCCTGATGGTGCATCGGGGATGGTAACAATGTAGTTTATACAATCATTAAAACACTGCAATGTTTGTAGAATGAAAATATTAAGTCATGCATTGGTCAATATTGAATTTAAACTGGCGGGGATTAAACAAAACGCCAGATCGTTGATTGTCTTACTGGCTTGCTTGAAGATAATGCACAAATCAAATAGCAGTGATTTCTTCTTAATCATATGGATAAGCTTAGTGTTTTCTCTAATTAAAAGGCGGCTTTAAGTTACTTTTACAGGATTTGCAAATTCGCAATCAGACTGGCTTATTTTAATCCGGTCTATTTGGTGTTTGATTTCGACTCTAACTGAAATAATGTATCACAAATAATGGATAAGCAAACAGAGACCGGTTTAAAAATGAGAATAGAGGCAAAAATAACTCTATTCATAAACTGTAATTAAAACCCAGGAGCAATTCTAGACTGTTAGATAATCTTTTCTGTAATCAAGGTGATGTTGGTACACGTCCGCAGTTAAAAAACAAAGACTATATAGCAATTAATCCTTTTGTTATCATTAAATGTTAGATTCTTATTATTTTTGTTGGACAATGATAAAACTTCTGTCTCCGATTGTTATGCAGGCATGTGTATGAAAAAGAGAGTTTCGTCTTCTTATAGTTTATAACTAGACTCTGTACGCAGGGTAATAGTGCCCCTATTATCCATGTTCAGGGGCATAGCCAACTTTCAGTCAGGGGGGGGGTACGATCGCCAAGAAAAACAATCTCGGTTTTCAGTCGGGAGAGGGGTGCAATCGTGGCAAAAGCAGGCCAAAAGATGCAACTTCCTTCAAAATTGAGCTAGAAGCTTCTTTCTCTTCTTCTATTTCATGGTTCTATTTTATTGGTTATGCATCGCACCCCCCCTGGCTACGGCTATGCCATTTGAGAGTCAAAAAGAGAGGCGACAAGACAGTTAAAACAAGTACTTCCAATAAATACTTTTACAGTTTTAATGTGTTTATCAACGACCCTACTAGTCAAATTAATGGAAACGAAAAATAAATGCTTTCATTACGGAAAAACCGGAAAACCGTAGAAATATCTACCTGATTCGCTAGAATAGTCACATTACTTCAGTGCAAACAATTAATATCTATAATATTTGTTTTATATTATTGATATCTTTCCCCTGACAATATGTTATCTCATGGTCCGTTAACATCATCAACAATGTGATTTACAACAAGAGATTAACCAACATTTCTTAATTAAAAAGTTGATATTTCTTGCTTTTTTAAAGCAAAAACACTATGACACAATAGCATCAAGGCAAAATCAAAACATGGTGTGGAAATAAAAGGCATACAAAATGGCCATTAAAAGGACATAACATGGGAAATCTTGCCGTTTTGCAACCATTCCTAAAATCAGTAAAGCATACCAGACTGAGAAACGCCGGATTATGGACAACTGGCTGATGTAATTATGAGCGACAAGACAGTTCAAACAACACATGACGCTCAATATCAATATGTTCTAATGTTTCTTCCAACGACCCCGTTTATTATATTATTAAAACAATTGCTCAATTTGCAACAACGCTGTATTTATTTTTCTATGTGATATACCTGATATATTGATAATATGTCTTCCATAACAAATGCTTATCTTACCTCAGTCATTTCATTATCTCATGGTTAGACATCATCAATCTTATGATTTACCACAAAGAATTACACCATTTCTTAATTTTTTTACTTATCAAACATCACTTAGTAAAAATATAAAAAATGACCAATAAAATTTTTGAATAAAACTATCAAATCAGTCATTGCTCAGCAAATACAAAGTATAAAGGAATAATAAACAGAACGTGTTCGCACAAAGTTGAAAATACGGATCGGCAAGTCAACAAGTCTGACCGTTAAATAAACAAACATAACCTATGTCTCCAATTGTTCGTCTGCTGGTCAGAACTTGGTATCCACTTCGGATAACCAATTTCTGAGAATACTGATGTCTTAAATAGATCAGACTTTTTGCATAAAGACGTCTTTAAATTAGAATATTTAATCTGCAATTTAAATTAATATCGTAAACCACAACACCTTGCTGGCGTCTGGTAAATCTAAAAATCTGTTTTTCTTAAAATATTACATTTTTATTAATAGATTTATAAAGTGTAGCTTTCTTTTAAACGAATTGTCCTTATCTAGCTTTATGGATTATCACGCTTCTATTTAGCTAAACACATCGATACTTACAACTCGTTGTCAGTCCAAAAACCAAGCATACACATGTGGCATATTCAAATAAATGTCAGAATGTAGGCCTATCATATCACGCGCGTAGTTATAAAGTTAACAACATATTAATGCAATAGAATAAGACACGATAATTAAAAAGATAAACCTCGGTATTCGGGCCTAAAAACCAAGGATAAGTGTATCAATACCTAGGGGTAAGCAGAAATAACCTTCCAAATAAGTGTATCAATAATCAAGGATAGCGACAACTAAGCACCGAGTAAGATGGTAATAAGCAGTGTATTGCAAGTTATTAAACACGATTTTGTCTTGTGTACGGGTCCAAAGTTAAATGTTTCGACGTTTAGCTAGCTAGAATTATTTATATCATTATAGCAAAGGTCCTTGATTTCTCTACACCAAATGTGTTCAAATCTCAAACGATCTCAATACAAATATGGTATCACATTGAGATTCGTCATTAATATCATAATAGTGTTTGAATCCTAATTTGAATCCAAATATGGTTATTTATATCAAATTAGCAAAGGATGTTGATTTCTCCGCATCAAACGTGTTCGAATCTCAATGCCAATATAATCTCATATTGGGATTCGTAAACTATGTTTCAATCCGAATTCAAATTGTTTTTGTCTTTACCATTCACATTTCAAGATGTACAAACAAATACCAAATAGTGATTTAGTAAAACAGTAGATATATGCTTGACTTGGTATTATTATTAATATTTCGAAAAAATCATCATAATTCTGGTACCACAGTTTGTAGAAACATTCAGGAATAAGAAAAAATTAGGTATTCATCGAGTAGTTTTTGAGAAAAACGTTTTTCTCTGAAATTCGTGAACAGAACGCGATTTGCGATTAACAGTTCATAACATAGTCAATAGTGGCTTGATTTTCATGAAATAAGGCATATTTGAAACAGAATTTAATATATCAAACAGAGCAATAATCATCACTATGCGGTTTCTATAGTATCAGTAACTAGGTAAATATCAATATTTTATGAATTTCATTTTTTATTGGAATCAACTTCAAACTTTCATAACTTTGCCCCTTTACCCCCGATCACCTTGATTTTTACGCCAAAAAGTGTCATATATCTGTGGCTCAACATAACAAAATAACAGAGGCAGACCCAAATACTTGCAAAAGGTACTGATAAAAGAATCTAGAGGGGGGGGGGGTCGGGTTGACTGCAGACATTAGGGTTATAGCGAAGAATGTTGATTTCGCTGCACTAATTATTCTTGAATCACAATCCGAATACCAATATGATCTCATATTAGGATTCGTGAAATCTGTTTGAATCGCAATATGAATCCAAATATGGTTATTTATATCATAATTGCGAAGGATGTTAATTTCTCTACACCGTGTTCGAATCTCAGTTCCAATTCCAATATGATTTTATATCGGGATTGGTTAACTCTGTTTGAATCACAATTTGAATCCAATAATGAATCCCAATATCAAATCGTCAAATCGCATTTGTACACTTGTCCACGTACAGTGAGCGACCATTTGTATTTTTAATCCAAAATTTGCATATGTCGTCCCTCACAATTCCCATTTAACATATTTTCCGTTTTTTTAAATTGGGTTCCCCAAATTTGAAAAATGGGGCATCCCAGTGGGACAAAATTAAAAAAAAAATGATTTCATCCCAAGGCTTAGCAAATATAAAGTACGTATAGAAGCCCCTTATTCAATTTATGCTTCCGTTTTTGAATCAGACATCTTGAAAAGGTTAAAAAAACTCAAAAATCAAAATTGATACTTTCGATTCAAAATAGGCTTAGTTATGTTCCACATTACCTAGAAAGATGAAATAGGGTAAAACTTTGACTTTGACCTTTACCGTAAAATGATGTAACGTTTTAAGTAAAATTCCGTAAACGTTGTTGTTTTACATTTAGGGAGCCGACATATACATTTTCCTGTAAAATTTGCATAAAGTAAAAACCATGCTTGAGATATCGATTTTTTCAAATTGTATTCCAGTTTTTTTTCATTTATGCTGCCGTGGCGAGGACCGGCATTCTACAGAATCGCTCCCTGTGACTTTGATGTCTAGTTTTTCTTGCTGTGTTCTGTAACAATTGTTGGTCCTTTCCTTTTGACACTTGTGCATACATATTTATTTTTAATATTATTTCAGGTAGGGAGGATGATGGCGTTACATCACATGAGCGATCGGTTGATTGTTCAGTACAACAGGTGGAAGCAGACAGCTCTGCTGCATCTCTACCTATGGCAGATTTCTTGATAGGATATGCCACGACAGAAAGTAGATTGAAAACCAATACTTACTCTAGGGGCCAGGACAGATTTTCTTAACAAATGGCGTATACTCACTTGTACTTTGACCACATTTGCAGTTAGAGAGAATGTTGTATTCGACGAATCTATCAGCTAATAAGAAGTTTTGCAAAGCGGTAGGAAGCTCTTTTTAGCGCTTAAACCACGCTCATGATTCATTCCTATCATATAAGGAATAAAATTCACCCTAAGAAAACGTTGACATCATGGTTTCTGTTAGTCAAAATAGATGAATAAACGCAATGACCTCATTCGTTTGTATAAAATCATTTTAACTAAGTGTTAATGATGCTGATTGCACTTAAAAATGTAATAGCACAAAGAATTACCCATATATTGCCCATTTGTTTTACCTTTTAAGACATAACTTTCCTTTATTAGATAGTGAAGGTTGTTGAAAAAATTGAAAGAGAGAGAGCTTTATAGACGTAGAGAGCTTTGTACCTGTAATTCAAATCTTTTCGAATTTTTTATTTGGTAACTGCCTTGAAGAGGAAAAAATTGGTGAACTTAAGAAAAATGATATTTAGGCGAGGGGCGATTTTATAGGGTATACACGGGTATACATAAAATTTGTCGATTTGAGTCATCATATTTTACAATTTTTTATACTTTAACATGCACGAAAGTTCAAACATTCCTAAAACTTAGCTTAAATAAGTTTTCCATCTTGGGTTTATACTTGAATCACAAGTATATTAACAAAGAGAGATACATGTTAAAACCATAGGGGTCAGCTAGCAGTATATCATAATATCATTTTCAGAAAATCACCAATTTTTTCAAGGCAATCATCAAAGAAATACCTTTGGTTCTTTCAAGACTACAAGGCCAGGTATTTGGCTCTCCACATTTCTTTTGTCAGTACCCTTGTCAGTAGTCTTGTAGAAACGCTATGCTTAAAAAAGTAAAAACGGGCTATAAATTTGCCCCTTGGGGTAAATCCTTATTGCCCTTTTATTCAAATTCCATCAATGTAATCAGCATCATTCACGCTTTAAATAAATATTTTATTAAATGTATATAACTTTCAAAACAACATAATATCAAAATTTCCTTCGGGTGAATATTTTCCCTCTGATAGGGCTAACCCTTCAAAAAAGAACTGTTTACCTCTATACAAAACCTCATATTAGCTGAGAGTTTCGTCCAAGACATTCCATTAACTGAAAATGTTGTCAAAAGGAGTATACACCATTTGTTAAGAATTTCTGCCCTGGCCTCTAGAACATACTCGAATTAACCTAATTTGTTGTTGTATTCATCAAGATTAATGGCAAATGATCTGCATCTAAAGTTCGTCATTTCATTTTCCTATGGAAAATAATGTCGTAAGAGGCAGTTGTAATATTGTTGCAATATAGCTGTTAATGATCGAAAAGCGGTAAACAAGTTACAAGTATAAATCATATTCGCTGGTGATTATGTCATATTCCGCAGATATACGTCAAATATTTGTTTAACTTGAGGCAACTTATTATCCAGGATTTATATTTTAGTGCTTGAAACTCTTAACAGAATTGATAATCCAGCATAGTTTTCGAGGCTGTCTGTATCACATTCTCACTTGCGTAATATATCACGCTCACCTGCGGAATGTGCCATATACCGCAATGAGAATGGCATTTTCCTCAGGTTGGTATGGAATAATCACATTTATTATATCACTGTCATATTTCCCACTTCTCATTGATCTATACATTAAACGTGACATAGAAATAAGAAGACGTATTTAACAGCAATGCCTGTGACGTCAGAAAAAGGCCTATTCAACTGGCGTATTCACAGGCCTTTCGTCTTGTAAATCTGAAAGTGATATGAAAAAAGCTGAAAACTCTCGTTCTTATTAGACATTCCAAACAGAAAGAGTGTGGTGAATATACAGTTTGCATAGTTGATTATTCACCTATTATATCAATGTCCAGTGTACAGGCAACTGACACCCATACGGGTGTATATAGTTACATATAGAGGTTATTTAAAGGGAGGTTTTTGATACAGGGTATATCCGAGGGAAATACAATATATCTGATATATTGAATTTACCGAGGGATATACCCTGTATCAAAAATCAAGCATTAAATAACTGATTTATCCTATACTTAGTATATGATGAGAATTAAATATGCATTGAATGTTAGGGGACCCTAATGTAATAATTACAAACGATAATTACAATCAGAACATGAATATTTTATCTCAATTTAAAGTCCTCAACAATTTTTGTTTTTTAAAACTCAACAGCTTTTACCATTTAACAGTGTATGAAATTAATATTTTATCAAATAGAGCCAAAGTATATTCCTGGAATTCAAAAAAGCACCGAAAGAAATTCCCGGGGATGGTTGATGAGCGGGTGATATATAGAGATTATCCTATATGAGGTTCAGGATATTGGGATTATCCCGAGGCCAATATAATATATCCAGGTCCCGAGGGAAAATATATTATATTGGCCAAGGGATAATCCCAATATCCTGAACCGACTATAGGATAATATGTTTATCCCATACCAATCTTGGTCATCTTGTTCACATTGTTCAATCGTGGAAATATTTTAGAATATGCATGTCCAGTTTTGTTTTCTTGGCCGTGGGCGGATTTTCCTGTTCTCTCAAATATTCCCACATTTATTTTCTCGATTTTTTGATTGATTAAGTGGATGCTCCTTCTCTTTATTAAACCATCAAACAGATCCCGATTGTCTTTGTTTTCTTCATTGTCGTTTACAGTCATTACGCGAATGTTACAAATTATGAACAAATATGCGAGCGGCGATTATGACGTAGCGGGCAGATATACTATATCTGCCCGCTCGAAGCAGGACATAAAGCTATATCTGCACGCTGATGAAAATATAAGCTTTTACAAACCGGCTTCATGTACCTGTAACACGAACGGGACCTGCAGCCCTCGAGCAGATATATTATATTTGCCTCGGGATAATCCCAATATCCTAAACCTCACCTCAGTGGGAGATATATATATCACCCGCTCACCTCAGATATCGATTATATTCCTGCATGTTATTTGCCTATAACACTACTAAGTATTCTTAGTATTATAACCACATTATAAACTTTGGGTTGGACAAGGTGATTCAAAACGATTATCTACAAAAATAATATTTGAGAGTAGATAAATCTTTATAACCCGTGTGCTATATTAGCCTATTTTATTCTAGAAAACACATTTGACACAACTAAACATGCTTTACATCAAGGGGGTACGAATGGTATGCCATTTACCCTTTTATTACTGTCCCAGGAGATATTTCCCGACGAATTAGGAAATTATGAAACACCTTGTTTATTGGGTTTATAAGTATAAGTATACTTATAAGTTTCTCAAACAACGTATGTCGAAAATTCTCTAATGTCTGTCAACCAGCGTCCATAATATAAATGATGTCATTTTCGTTTTAAAACGGGTTTCCAAAAACTTGCAAAAAACAATTTGTTGTCAACTTTATTTATATGAACAGATGTTCAATATATCCACCATTTTCATCAATTGTATTCCTCAATTTTGGACTAAACTGGTCAATCAATAGCATCATTGATATGCTGTTGAGTCAATGAATACCACTTCTCAACAATTCTATCCTGAGTAAAGGACTCAGAGTAGATGTAAGGGGTTCATAGTTCACCAAATCTGTTAGTTCTCCCAACATGTGGTAGTCGCAGACATTGACATTGGATAATCCAATTGTTGTTTTTAGACCATCCTGATATGAGCTCATTTTCGAATCATTACATTGTTTAACAAGATTGGGCTCCAATTCATAGATCCCACTGGGTTTCAAATGTTTTCAGGAAAATGTGCCTAGATTCATCCACCCTTAATCACTGCCCCTCCCCCCAGATAACCCATCATCTGCGACTTCCACGTATTGGAACAACTAACAGAATTCGTGTATTGGTGTACCATGAATCCTTTACATTCACATAGTCCCTTGAGGACAGAAATATTGAGAAGTGAAATTCATTGTCTCAACAGCATATCAATGGTTCTATTGACCGGTTTAGGCCAAAATTGAGGGCTACACTTGATCAAAATGGTAGACATATTGAACGTCTGTTTATGTAAATAAAGTTGACAATGAAATCTGGTTTTGCAAGTTTTGGAAACCCCGTTTTGAAACGAAAATGACATCATTTATATTATGGACGCTGGTTGGCAGATATTATGATCAATTTGAACTTATGATATACCAAATTAAAGATAAGCAAATATCCATTGGTATATAATATGACATATTTTCTTAAATAAAATCAATATTTTTATTTTAGAAATACGAGTGTCCCATTTTTGGACCACCCTGTAGATATCATTTCAATGTGATTTATCTTATTCTGACCTTGTAAAGAATTCCGACTTCTCGTGATATTTTGGTAGATACATGAGCAATGTGTTCATTCCATTTTAGTTCAATGAATAGTAATAAAACAAACATTTCTTATTATTATGCACCTTGTCTAGATACTGAAATCTGATTGGTTCTAAGCTGCTGGTAATTTGGCCATAACTGGCTTTTTTAAAACTACCCTGGTACCCATTTTTTAAACTGCCAAATATGTTTTTGCAACTGACCAGTAGGCTTACGCCTCGCCCAATATTTGTTTCTCGAATAGGTATTCTACCATATCCAGCTCCTGATCATCCAGTATTTGTATACTATTTTCGGTGGATATCTGTTGCACTTTCAATGATTCCAAAGGTCGTATTCCTCTGCCCCTCTGGGCTTCGGGGAATACACCCTGTTAAAATCATTGAAAGATGAACAGGTGATCAATAGTATGAAATATTTATATAGTATCACAAATACCATGCGACCCTAAATATATGGCATATTCTCCGTCACAATGATATTGTTTCAGATTATTCAGCACAACGTGTAATAAGTGCAGGGACCTGGTTTATTCAGGAAATGCTGAACATCTTTGAGAAGCATGCAGTCGAGGAGGACATCCTCACAATGTCTTCGAAGGTAAATACTTTGGATAAGCTGGGAAAGTCAGATTAAAAATTTACGAATGCACAATTATTCCAGTAAAGATCAAATACTGGGTGACACAAACAAACGTTACCCATTGTTTTACCTCCTACCTACCTACCTTCACCATAAAATGTAGTTCACTAAAGCTGTATTCAATGTTACATCTTTGTTCTAAATCTCAATGAGATATCCACACAGCTCAATTCCGAGACATGCTGTAGGTGCTTGACATTATGCTCTAACCATACATGATTCTACAAGCAGTTTTTATGACACAAACACACTCTGCCACAGGGATTGCCTGCATCTGTGCCACAACGGTCCTTTTCACATGTTTCAGAGCATCAAAAGTGTCTGTTCTGTCATCATAAACATTATCTTTAAGGTACCTCCAAGGATATAAATCTGAGGCTGAAAGATCGGGCAAATATGTCCTAGCTATTGTATATGTGCATAGAATACAGTAGTTACATAGTTCAAAATAGTTTACGTAAATCCTGCAACGCCTTACTTGCAAAGATCCCGAGCAGGCTCATATAAGTGTTAAGTCATGAACAAACTTAACTACAATGTTGGCACTCATGATTTAATGAAAAATAAGAATAACCTATCAAAATTGCTCCTCGGCCATGACAAAATTGATGCCAAGAAGACTAACACACAACGGTATTTTATTGCATGCATTTGACCAGTGTAAATATGCATGCATATATATTGTACATAATTATTTCCTTTAAATAGAATTTCCAAAAGGAGATCTTCAAAGGGAACAACAACTTAAACTAAGTCTTCAATCTAAGTATTCTGTACATAAATACAAGAAATCACACACCAATTGTTTGTCAATCTACGAATATGTTTTCCATTTATGCATCAATAAATAAAATAATTACTAATAAAATAAATAATAATGAAGCAGAAATATTTTCTTTAGTTGGCATTGTCTAATCAGACATACCTGTCTATTTTTCAGATCAACGCTCTTGTTGCAGACAGATCAATTTCGACTGGCGAGAAACAAATGCCATATTTCCGATCTTCATTGAGAAAGAAGTTTTATTTCAACCCCCCGGACATTGATGCCATGAATATTTGAAGTGTCGTAAATGTCGAATTGTTTACGTTTCAATGACCAAATGACTATGTGAGTCCCCTGCAGCCATGCAGAACACTGAGCAGTTGATGAAACACTCTGTACAAGTCTACAAATCCGTAGCATTTTTGAAACTTTAATCATTGGAACCTATTTTACTGGTCGGCAACAGGGAATTTAGTCGTTCACAAACCGAGCCGTTCGCGAGGAGGATTGGATCAGAGGGTTCATACTCGATATTTTCCAACAATGCCAACGTCTGTCCTCGAGTCGGCATTTTTCACTTCAAAATTTCTACCGCTAGTTTTGGTTTTATTACCTAACAAAAATTCAAAACAACCAAGAAGTGATTATGACATTAGTTGCCACCAATATATTAGTTCAAATATTTTGAATACTGATTTTGAATTTATAGCCAGCTAGTTTTGTTGCAGCCCTAGAAATATAGGCACGATCAGCAATAATGTCGCATCACTTGGAGAATATGAAGTTGGAACCCTACCTGCCAAACCCCCTTGAGCCATTTGTAATATCTCCAAATAAACGAGTTCACCAGTTCAAGACATTTAAGGCCAGGTGATATGGATTGGTTCATCTGTACAGATTGTAAATGTGATTGGAAAACTGATTATTACATTATTAATAATGTAATAATCAGTTTTCAAATCACATATGTTTATTTCATCCACCAGAATTGGTGAGTTTACGTCTAGTAGCAATGAAGGTGAAACAAGTCAGGGCGTGTTCAGTGAAAAACTAAATATGTAGCTCTACTTCTCGACTTTACTTATATAAACAATGATAAGGTAAATGAGAGTTTGAAATAGGATGTCAAAATCTTTAATTTGGATCTTACTTACCTTAAGTACATTTGAAAAGTTACATTGCTTCTTTTTGCTTTTAGATTATAAGGTAAATGATAAAATCATTTAAAAGCAAATGTTAGAATAGAGTTTTTACTGCTTTGATGTGAACATTTTCAAAATTGTTTTTTTGCTTGACTATATCTTTAACGTGACATGTCTTCTTTTTGCTTTTAAACATTATCGCCAATCTTTAAATCTAAAATGCATGAACTCATAAAACTGTAAAAATAAACATTGACAACGGTTATCTGCAGCAATGTTCAGGTTTCAGGAATACATTAAAACACACAAGCGCTGTACATGATGCAGTATGTCATTGAGTAGTTAAGAGAATTGTCATGATATGGAAGTCCAATGTGATTTTGCACGTCAGTAAAATATAAAAATCCGTAGCAACTCAGTAAGCTGGTACAGGGTGATCTAAAAAGTTACTGAAACGTATGTTCATCTTTATCTTAGAATAAACCGACATTTAACTGGATAGCTATATGAGCTATATAGATATAGCTGGCATGTCACGTTTTAAGCATTTATATTTCATTTTTCTTAGCTTTGAAGATTAAAAAATTATCATGTTTAACAAATGTACCACTTTATTGGACCACCTTGTAGATGAATCGCAAGAAATATCTATCATATCGCATAAATATTGTTTAAATGTAAAACAAGTTCCTGGGACCTTAAGTACATGTATACTGTTAACACAACAAACGGCTTGCAATCTATTGCACTAGCACTGCATTATTTGCTTGTTTCTCATGAAATATAAATCAAAAGTGAAACGAATAATTTCTTATTGATTTCTGTGATAATTTTTGATTCAAAAGTCAAACTTATTGTCCAATTTTACTTGGTAAAAGTTACCATGCATGATATTTGCCAAGAGAGTTCTCCTCTAATGGAAATTAACATTGGGAACATATAACGGAGTACTTATAGTTGATATTTGGCTTTTCAAAGAGTCGGAGCCATGTTCAAGCAGTCATTCTCAATACCTACCTTGGACCATTTGATGTTTCCGAGAAATAGACAAAATATTCTGAGACTTAAAATTCCCATCATTTATGTTTCTGCAGCCAACAACAACTTTTAGGACAAACTTCAAGTTCCAGTTCCTACCTCAAACGGTAAACCAGGGTAGGAAAAGCTGAACCGCATTGGGATGAATGATTTGCGATTGCCCCATATACAGAAGCACTCGTTGCCAAAAGTCGCGCCCTGAAAACCTTGGTTTGCCGTCATCCAAATCCGCCTTTACAAAAATCGGTGCATTATTTGACTCGTTCGTGTTATTTTCGATAGTTTTCAAACCGAGAATTTTTATTGCTTTTATTAAAAAGGTTCCTCGTAATTAACTCTAACTATGGATATGTAGACTGCAATGGATTTTAAGGTGTCACTACGGTAAATCATTGAAAAATATTGAAAATATCAGTGACACCTTAATATCCAAAACGGGTAAATTTGACTATGATAATTTTTGCTCATTTAGCATTTTTTCAAACAATTGAGTTATTTCATGCTCAAAACAGCTGCATTTTCAAACTTTTAACACGTTTTCCACAAAATCTAGTCATATTTGGGGGAATAGGTGAGGGCTGAATCTCTAAAAACTGGCCAAAATGACCAAAAACTGGGTCATCAACTTCATATACACACCATTGATGTTGGCTAGGCTTCGTTTGTAAAGTCATAAAAAACACTATCCTACCAGGAAGTGGTATTTACCGTAGTGAAACCTTTAACGATATGTTTTGCGCATAGGGTTATAAAGTATGATGAACAGGCTCACTGGCGGATCTGGGGTGGGGACCAGGGGCGGATCTGGGAAGCAACAAGGGGGGGGGGGGGGAATTTCAGGTCAGTGAAAGCGCAAAAACAAATGTTGGGACCCTAAAACCCAAAAGTCGGCCCAAAGTTTGAAATTTTGAGGCCCATTTTTAGAAAAATTTGGCCTGCAACGAAACAATAAGGCCTAACAAGGCCCAGTAATGACCAAAAAGGCCCATTTTCTGTGGCCTTCAGGCCTTTTTTGGCCCAAATTTCACCCGATTTTTTCAGCCCCCCCCCCCCGATCCGCCAGTTGTACAGCCCCCCTCCCCCCCTTCGATATGCCCAGAAAAAAATTGGGCGCAAAAAAGGCCCAAAATGAGTGGGCCTTTTAGGGCTTTACTGGGCCTTTTTACCGGAACTGTTTTGTCAGCCTTGAAATTTGCACCCCCCTGTTGGTTTCTGGATCTGCCCCTGAAGGCAGTGGCGGATCCAGAAATGAGGCAAATTTTGAGTATGTAAAAAAATTTCTCAGCTTGCGCCTCTAAAACCAAAGATTGGGTCCCAATTTTGAAAAGTTAATTTTTGATAAATCGGCCCAAAAAGGCCTATAAAGGCCAAATTGTGCCCAAAAAGGCCCACTTTTTAAGGCCTTCCCAAGATTTTTGGACCCAAAAAGAAAAAAAATTGGGCCCACCAAGGGGGGGGGGGGGCAGGTCCTAGTATTCTTTGAGTGCAATTAGTAGATACATTGCCCACAAAGGGGGGGGGGGGGCATGGGCCCCAGGATCCGTCAATATGGTCTTTGAAAATAAGATTTCTAGACCAAGGGATAACCAATCATATTGCGTTCAAATTCATTAAATTTAACCTTTTCAATCAAATGTATGTCTTCTAAGAAGCTGCCACGGTTATCATTTCATACTCAAACTTTTGCGATATTATAGTCAAATGCATCGTATCTACCTTTAGGGTTACTTAGATCGTCTCGGGATTAAAACAACTAGCAATTAATTTGTCAATTGTTAGCAGTGGATAGAAATTGATGCATGGTCGTGCCAATTATACTTTAATTAATTCGGTCCTCACCAAGCGCTACAAGTTACAATTTCTTTTGACTGTGAGCTAGTTAGGTCCAAGGAAAACTTTCTAGGTTGACCTACTAAATTCATTCAATCTGGCAAATTTGTCACTTTACCCGAAACATTTTTTAAATCAAAACATCTCGATGATCATTACGTGCACCTATCAGGATCTTGCGCTGATGGGATGGCGCCCTGTACATATTCTAGAAGGGCCTTTGCGTGTTTTGGTACATCAGCCTTCTTAATGCCTACTCCCACCATATCCAAGAATAGGTAGGGAGCGTCCCAAATCCCCGCCAACCATGATACGTAAATAATAATTAACCTACCTATCAGGATCTTGCGCTGATAGGATGGCGCCCTGTACATATTCTAGAAGGGCCTTGGAGTGTTTGGTACATCAGCCTTCTTAATGCCTACTCCCACCATATCCAGGAATAGGTAGGGAGCGTCCCCACTCTCTCCGCCAACCATGATACGTAAATAACAATTAACCTACCTATCAGGATCTTGCGCTGATGGGGTGGCGCCCTGTACATATTCTAGAAGGGCTTTGGAGTGTTTTGGTACATCAGCCTTCTTGATGCCCACTCCAATCATATCCAAGAATAGGTAGGGAGCGTCCCCACTCTCTCCGCCAACCATGATACGTAAATAACAATTAACCTACCTATCAGGATCTTGCGCTGATGGGGTGGCGCCCTGTACATATTCTAGAAGGGCCTTGGAGTGTTTTGGTACAGCCTTCTTGATGCCTACTCCAACCATATCCAAGAATAGGTAGGGGCGTCCCCAATCTCTCCGCCAACTATGAAACGTAAATAACAATTAACCTACCTATCAGGATCTCGCGCTGATGGGATGGCGCCCTGTACATATTCTAGAAGGGCCTTGGAGTGTTTTGGTACATCAGCCTTCTTGATGCCTACTCCAACCATATCCAAGAATAGTACCGAGTTTGGCGTTTTGATATTTGAAGGTGTTAATGAAGATTAATTTATGTTTGATTGTTAGTTTTGTTGTATATTTATTTTATTAGTGCGTATTGGTCAATATCAGAAGGATACGAGCGTTATATTCTCTTTCAAAATGGCGGACGGTAAGTGTCAATTTAAATATTTTTAGAATTACCCTGGACATTTGGGTTTGACATTTCTGTCATGCCAAGCTTGTATACCATGTAAACGCTGCAACATTTTCCGATATCATGCGCGAACGCCACAATCGAAATGATATCTTCTAGTGTTTCCTCGTTACTCATTGAAATTGCAACTAACACAGTAACTCGTTGACCCCCCCCCCCCTCCCCCTACAAAGCCCGCATCCTCTAGAACAGAAGGGAATAAGACAAGGGAGGGCGAGAGTAGAGTTTAGAGACTTGATGCTTGACTAGTGTGAATCAACTGAATTTTATTTTATGAGCTTTGGTCATCGTGACTTTGATTTTGATATTTCATTCAAAGGAATGGCAGGGGTGAAGGCTCATCGTGAGACAGGGTCAAGATTTTATTGGCGCTTTCTAATGTTGGTAATTACTTTCTCTGTATAGTACTCTTTAGCATTCTGATACACATCGCATCTAAAAACCTGTCTGTGTTTACTTCATGGTGACCATTTAGTATTATGAATAAGTTTAGGACATGATTTCATATATCTATTATTTTTAGAATTTGTTCAACAAAAACTAAAAAAGAAAACAAGCAAAACAAGCTAAAACTAAAAAGACAAAAACTTAAACTGGTACACCATATCCTGAATATACTTTTTCAGTGATACGTTGAAGATGCTTATCACATACGCTAGGTATAGATCGTAAATTGTATCTTGTATAGTTTCGGAAAAGTTCAGTTACCAAAACTTTGTGTGGTAAACTCCCGGTGTCCCTAAAAGACAACCAACATTCGAGATCTTTAAAGTAATCAAACCCAGTAGTGGTCAACTAAAACATTTACAAACGAAGGTTCTGTTTTTTGTAGACTAACTTTTAACAGGTTTACTTCTTTGTCCAAACATATTTGTTTCTTGATATGTGATACCTTTGTTAA